AATACAATAATATTTTTTCATCAGTGCGATCAAATTATCCGTAATGGGTTGACGCATGGCATAATTTTGTTAAGGGATCTTCAGAGTAGCGGTCAATGTTAGCACGTACCTTTGGGTGATTCACAACCGGCAGGATAAATCCCATAGTCACGTAGACCTGCTATTCAGTGATGGTAACGGGCAGCCCAAGTCCGAAACTTGGAGCCCCTCAGCCACACTACCCCACTAGGTTGTGCATGACCTTAAGAGTTACGCAAGTTTAGCAGATCCATTTCGTGTTCGCCGTACACCGTCTTCGGGCCTTTATTCGTTAATCTCACCAAGCCACTTTTGATCCTCAGCGATTTAAAGTTCATAATGTTTGGATAGTCCGACGGAGAGCCTCAGTATGATTGGGGGGGATGCCGGGTTGAGGCTGGTCACCGTTCCCCTACACCGCGCAATGCCCCAATATTCCCAAGCGTCTCAAGCGCTACACTGCCTTCCCGTGGCGGTGTTTTCCCGCCAAAGTGGGAGGACGAAAAGCCCACATCCAGGGCTATAACTGAGTTGGTGGACCATTGGCAGTTCACCTAGGGGAGTTGGCTAAAAACCCTGATTTCAAACCAACCAAGGGGAGGCTTGCGAACCACACGCACACCTCGCTAGTCGCAACAGTGGTCACCGGCTCGATTGGGTATGGTGTATTGGGCATCTTGGACGTTTGACCTCGTCCGAAGGGCGCATGATTCAGTAAACTGGACACCTGTCCTCAATGGACTGCGGACTCTGAGCTCCGTCCTGTTGTTCTGCAGGTCTGGCTCTCTGGCCAAAGGCTTCGGGTGGGGACCCCGAGGATACCCCCTTCCTCGGCCAGGGCAACCGGAAAGTAACATAGCCACATAACCCATGAACACATTCTTCAGATTTCTCTTTGTTCATATGTGGCACATTTGCCAGTTCTCTGTAATTGGTTACGTGTTGAAATTAAAAAAACAGTGTATGCTTATAGTATAGTAATGAGACACTTTCTTTTAGAGGAATGCGAATTCGCATTTTCGTCCGTTCTCGATTGAAAGCTTTATATTTCAGTGCACGGTATCAAGTTCGTTAACGTGGTCGCGAAATTCACGTTCAGAGCTGCTGATCACAAAAATGTAGAAGTACTGTAGAAGTACTTCTCTGATGGCATCACTCAATCTTTTCTCAATACTCGCCGTGCAGATATTGTTCAGTGTAGGTGACACCATGCGATACAGCGAAATATACCCGCATACCAACTGTGCGAAATGAATTTGTTGTCCGCTCTTTTCAAGTTCATTTCATTGCATTGATTATAAAAATTACTATAATGCGAATAAATTTACTCATTCCATAAATGACGGTAATCAAACCAAGTGATGGTAACAGTTCCACGATTCACAGAATAGTGATCCACATTATTATCTCTCTCATCCATTTTAAACCTGAGTTACTGATCGATAAAAGACTCTGGGATTGATGACTGTTGCGCATCGGAGACGCGGATCCTGGATCCTAGTACTATTTGCCACTTAAGTGCACCGGGGTTGTCTTCGAGGTTCTTCCTCCGCACGTCAGGTGATGACAAAGCCTGTTCAGTAGGCCAGCGTGGTGTGGGCATTGTACTCAATAATAAAGCCGAAGCTGTACTACTCAATTGGATCCCCGCCAATAGTCGTTTATGTGCGATGCGGCTCCAACGGTCCATCAGCGTCCGAAAAGGACGCAACACGAAAATGTGTTTGTTCATCATTTCAGCGTATGCTTCGCGAGCTGCAGTTCTGACTCACAAAAAGACGACTTTTATGGTAAACTCACCGAACTCATTCGGTTGAGTCGAAGCTCCGATATAGTTGTTCTCGTAGGTGATTTAAACGCTCAAGTTGGAAAACTGAGCGCATCGGAAGCTTGCCTAGGCGGTCATTGTGTGTCAGCGAACAGATAATGACGATCGACTTCTTCAGTTCTGCGCAGATCGTCATCTGTTCCTATCCAGCACTAACTTCCGACACAGCTCTCAACGGACAGCAAGGTGGCGCTCCAATTTAACTGGTACGCTAACTCAAATCGACCACATAGCAATAAGCTACCGTTGGCATAGCTCAGTACAGGTCCTATTGGACCACTTGCGTTGAATCTGATCATGCATTTGTGTTGATGCAGTTTACCCTCCAACTCACTGGTCACAAAAAACCACCAAACACGGTTGGCAGAGCATCGTTTATCTGACCCAGCCTTTCGTGCCCGTTTTGAATCAGAAGTGGGGCAAGAGCTAAACGCTCGGCGGGGTGGTAATGTAGATGAACAATGGGATCAGATTAGCCGAGCAATGCACTCCGCTGTGAGAGTTGCTTGTGGGTCTGAAGCGGTTGCCCGTCCGAGCAATTGAATATCTAATCAGTCAGTCGCACTGATTGAGAAAAAAGGGGCAAATCTCCACCACCCGGGATCAAGGTAGGGGTAGATGGCGTCTGCAGCGACAACTCAAGAAGAGCCTCAAGAAAGATTTTGAGAACTGGTGGGCAACACTAGCTGGTGAACTGGAAATCGCAGCTGCATTAGGGAACAGTTGAAGACTGTTCCAACTGATACACAACACTGGAGGTCGGAGAACCACAGTTAGTGAAATGAACTGCGACAACGTGGACAAGCTATGCACAATAGGGAACAACGGCATGACCGGTGGGTGGAGTACTTCAACGAACAGTTCAGCCTGCCAGGTGCTAACCAAACTATCTCGTCCGTTGTCGTTGTGGCTCCATGGGAAGTGTCATGTGAACCTTCTACTGCAGCAAAAGTTTTATCATGCATCCAAGCTCTGAAGAAAGGAAAAGCAACAGCACCGGACGGGCTTCCTCCCACTCTTCTCAAGATGGGAGGCGATGACCTCGTAGACTCCATTACTGATCTGGTGCGTACAATATGGTCACACGAGCGCATTCCATCATCTTGAAGCGAATCACTGATTCGTTCCAATTTTTAAGAAGGGATCTCGCAATGACTGCGCAAACCACCGTGGAATAAGTTTGACTCCAAGCCTCATCAAGTTACTAGCCTTCATCATACTTCGACTTCTGATACCGTTTATGGAGACAAATATCCAACAACAAGCAGGATTTCGACCAGGCCGCAGGTGTGTCGATCAAATCTTCACTCTGCGTCAAGTCCCCGGGCTACGCCACACGCACCGTCGGCCAACGGTTGTCGTGTTCCTTGAATTAAAAGGAGCCTTTGACTCAGTTGATTGCGAATCCCTAATGGGTTTGCTCCTTCGCAAAGGAATGCCGCAGAAGTATGTTAACATATTGAGTTCACCCTACTCATACTTCTGGTAGCGTAAGGGTATACGGCGAGCTGAGTTGGTCGTTTGTAACTAGCAGCGGTGTTCGTCAAGGGTGCCCTCTTTCGCCATTCCTGTTCAAT